CACTTTTCCTCGCTCGTTTTCGTCAAGAAACGAACGAGATATGGTCCTCGACTTCCTCCATACCCTCCTAATCGACTACTTTATCTTCGCCCCTGGGTCAAACTCGGATTGCGGTCGGGATCCTGACCACAGGCCATGGCCCCTTCGGTTGGTCGCGACCGATATTTTCACATATAAAAAGTAATAAATTAATAAACCAAAAACAAAAATAAATATATGGGGTTGTAGGGTTTGAAAATACCTACCTACGTAGCACGGCGAACGTGTTCGCACCCCTTCACGTTCACGCAAACGTGTTCGTGGGTTCGCGCGAATAGGTCGCGAACATGTTCGGGCGAATATAACTTTTTTCCGTAAAAAAAACAAAAAAAAAATGAATTGTTTTTCGGTTTTTGATTTTTAACTCATGATTAGCTACGAATTTCAACATGACTCCAGGGCAAAAGTTGCTTGTATTGTTGTTTTACATAACATATAGTTTTTTCAGAGTTTTTGAAGAATTGTTTTTTTTTTTTTTTTAAATATTTTTTATGTTCGCGTTCGGAGGATTTTGGGCGCTTGTTTGCGTTCGCCTCCGAACGCGAACACGGTGCTACGTAGATACCGACAACCCTATAATTTTTTGTTTTGTCAACTTTTTGATTACGAAGTGTTTTTATATTTAAAAAAAATAAAAACAAAAAAACAAGTATTTTAATAAAAAGAAATAAAATAAAAAAATGATTTTTTTATTTTTCGAGTGTGGATGTGCGTGCATGTGCAGGGGGGAAGGGCGACCCCTTTCCCACCAATCAATCAATCAATCAATCAATCACAAAAAAAAAAAAAAAAAAAAAGTAACAAGAACAAAAAACAGCGAGTTCGGCTCGCACGCGCGCGTGTGTGTATGTACAGGGGGGAAGGGCGACCCCTTACCCAGCAATCAATCAATCAAAAAAAAAAAAAAAAGTAAAAAAGAAAAAACAGCAGGTTCGACCCGCACGCTGTGTCCAAAACTGCATTTAAGGCGGGGTCCGCGTTAAATAATTTAACGCGCGGTAAATTCGCGTTCCACTCCCGTTCAAACGCGCGTTGGACGTGGAAAAACGGAGTCCGCAATGATTTTGTTCCTACGCTAAACATAATCAGGAAAAAATATATATATATATGGGGTCGTAGATCTTTTCGAGGTCTTCGACCCCATATTTTTATTTTTATATTTTGAGCTCTAAATATATTTAAAAAAAATAAAAAACGTAAGCACAATGAAAAAACAAAAACAAGAAATGACACTAGTCTTTTTCTTTTTGGTTTCACAAAGATTTTTAAGGGCTAAAACAAAAACGGAAAAAAAAAAAAATATATATATATATATATATATATATATATAGGGTTGTAGATCTTTTTAAGATGTACAACAAAATATTTGTTTTTGTTTTTTTTAATAACTTCGTGTATTTTAAAAAAAAATCAAAAGCATAAACAACATATTTTTTGGCCTGCATTGCTTAGGTAATCTTGCTGGGTAGACTCCCTCGTGGGTAGACTCCCTCCTGGGTAGACTCCCTGATTTGGCCTGCTTCGTTCACTGTTGTTGCAACCACCACCATTAGATCATTTGTGATCTGATGGTTGGGAAGCACTCTGTCGTGATTTTCAGTGGGAGGTCTCTGTTTTTTTTTTTTTTTTTTGCCTTTCTCCTGTTTTCTCAGCCCAGAAACTCGTAATGAACCTGTCAGGCCGCTCCCACTCAGTGTCACACTGGATCGGCCACACTCCTATCCGTCTGCTAATGGGACTATGCCCTTGGTGCTTGTCAATGTCATCTGGTTGAAGTTGCCCTCAATACTGGTAGGGTGATGGTCCTGAGTGCTGGTCACACTGAGGTAGGATAGTAGGGACAAGGGGTGTGCTGGGCCTTGTCCTCTACAACACCCTGAGGTAGGATAGTAGGGATGGTAGGGACAGGGGGTGTGCTGGTCACACTGAGGTAGGATAGTAGGGACAGGGGGTGTGTTGGGCCTTGTCCTGAGTGCTGGTCACACTGAGGTAGGATGGTAGGGACATA